AGGATGAAAGTCATTAGGCCTGTAGGTAACATAGCACCTAAAAGGCAATTTAGAAGGAAGAAAGGAAACAAAAGGGTCCAAGCAAATACATAAAGATAGCTCTGCCCTGCTAACAATGAAGCCTGGATATTCTGCCCAGAATATGTCAGATCCCAGCCAGGGAATGACTAAAATATATTGCAGAGCCCAAAAATGTTCTAGCGGAGAAATGCAGTATCATTTGAACAAGCCCCTAGATTCTAGAACCTGTAAAAGCTGGAATTACCAGCCACTCCCTTAACTTGTGCAGAAAAATAAAAGCTTTTAGCACAATGCCAAATACAAACCTAGAATATAGTTTGGAAGTCCAATTTCCTTTTTATCTGGGCTTCCATTTTTCAACCGTTTTAAAACATGAATCAGAGGTTCTGGAACAGACAGTAAACCTGTCCTTTCAGCTTGAGTCCAGTCAATTCCCTGGCACTCTGCCTAAGTTTTAAAATAACCAATCTTTTCCAAGTGCCAACAAAGGGAAAGGCTGCCGTTATCTGACTCAGTATGTAATACCCGCAGCTAGGTCTCATCCCAGAGAATGGGGCTGATTATCTGAACCTGTCCTGGAAAACAGGCTCCACGGGCCACAATAGAAATCTATTTGTCCAGCGACACATTAGACTGACCTCTAAGGTCTCTCTGATCCAAGCCGTGGCATCTGAAGTCACTCGAATCAAACCACAGAGTCATAGGGAGGAAAGGGACCACAAAGGTCTTCTAGTCCAACCCCTGGCCAAGCCAGGAGTTCTTGTAAATTTTTATAGGTTGCACAATCTTTTCTTGAAAGTCTTCAGTGATGGAGCACACACAACTTTGGAAGTCAAGCTATTCCACCGATGAATCATTCTCATGATCTGGAGATCCCTTTCTATTCCCAGGTTGGATCTCTCCGCTATGAGCTTCCGCGTTGCTTCCTGTCCTGCCTTCTGGTGCTTTGGAGAAAAAGTCAATCCCAGCTTCCCAACCTCTTCTTTGAAAGCTCTGGTGATGGAGAAGAACCCACAACTTCTGAAGGGCAGCCATTCCACTCATCGGCGGTCTCCTTATTTCTAGGCTGGTTCTCTTCTTTGATTCGCCTCCATCTCATGGACCCGTCTCCAGATCCCTCTCCTTTGTGCCAATTTAATGAATGAATCAGAGCAGTGTTGGTTCTCAGTCTTTTCTTCATTATGGACCCCTTTCAAATACCTTTTGTGGGAACCCCAAGGCTGCACTCAAGATTGAAATGATAACATTTCTCCAAGTCTCCGCAGACCCCCACCCTGTGATGACATCGTGGCTCCCCAGGGGTCCACAGAGCCCAGGTTGAGAACTCCTGGATGAGAGCATGAATACGTGGCTGAATGAAAGAGTTCTTGAGGACAAGCGAACTGGTGCAAGGAGGTGGTTGCCTCTGGCTTTGAACTAAAATTTGAAGTGATAGCCAGTAATTGTGCAAATGACATCACAGCAGGCAGCAACTGGTGCAGCCATCAAAGGGCTACCTTGGTCGGTGGGTGGGTGGGTGGAACAAGATCTTGAAGGAGGCCTGCCATTACTTAAGCCAGGATCCAGAGAGAGGAGAGCACGGCTTGGCAGTTAAGACAACGAGGCCTTGAAAGGAGACCCTGAGGAAGAAGAGGCCAAGCTGCTTCCAAGACACGGTCGGGTGAAAGAAACCGCAGCCCAGGCAGGAACACCTCAGACAAGACTCTCCCTCGTTCTCAGGTAAAAGGAGCACATTCGGGCTGGCAAGATTTCGTCACTATAGCTTGATCATTAAAGTAGGTATCGGCCTACATGGCTTTGGCTGCCTGGTCTTGCCTACCTTGGAGGGCTGACAAGAAGTCACGTGTTTGCTTCTCTTGGCCAGAGGCTCCTGGTCAGCCCTTTCTCCGAGAAGAAGGGATCTGGCCCACTTGCCGAGCCAGCCTTCCAACCCGGTGCAGGGCTTTCCCCCTTGATCTCAACGTCTCTGGGGACACAGCACTTCCTGTGCACCCCACCTCGATGGCAAGCCTGGCGCAAAGAAACTATTTTGAGCCTTCCGCCAACAGTCCAATTCAACACGCCAATCGCCCCTGAGAATAATGCTCAGCAGGACAGAAGAACAACTCACAGGCTCACTTAGCCTCCCAACTCCCCTACCTGGGGGGACAGCCAGTCTTAAAGGTCTTCTCAGCAACCAGCAGGGTTGGGGCCAAACTGATCTCATGGGAGAAGAGAGCACCTGAAGGCAAGCAGTCCAATTGTTCTCCCGGTCAGGAAATGGGTTGCCATCCACTGCTTCTTGCCTTCTGGTGCTTTGGAACACAGGTTATGGCAGCCCCTCAAATATGGGAACACTGCGATCATGTCAACCCTAGTCCTTCTTTTCACTAGAGTCGATAGACCCAATTCCTGTCACCGTTCTTCATATGTCTTAGTCTCCAGCCCTCCAATCATCTGTTGTTCTTGCATTCTTTCCAGAGTCTCAATACATCGTTTTATATTATGGTGGCCCAAACTGGATGCAGTATGCCTCGTGCGGTCTTACCAAGGCATTACAAAGTGGTACTAACGCTTCATGTGACCTTGATTCTATTCCTCTGTTAATGCAACCTAGGATTGCATTGGCTATTTTGGCAGCTGCAGCACACAGCTGGCTCGTATTTAAATGACTGTCCACTAGGACTCCAAGATCCCTCTCACAGTTATTGACAGTGAGCCAAGTTTCACCTAATCTGTACCTGTAGCTTTTGGTTTTTCTTGACTAAATATAAAACCTTATTTTTTTCCTCCACTAAATTTGTTTTATTACCTAGAGAGGGCCCAGTGTTCAAGTCTGCCAAGATCCATCCAGAGCTTGAGCCGATCTCCTGGGGTTTGGGCTATTCTTGCCAGCTCGGTGTTGTCTGCAAACTTGATGAGTTTCTGGAGAAAGAGGTGTGCCGTAAATACGTGTGTGTGTGTGAATGGCTGGTATCTTATCACTGAGACTGGAGAAGGCAGGATGGCAAACTATGTGTTTATTCAGATTTAGAGCTGACCAGGATCATCCCCAACCATTTCAGCCTCTTTAAAACGGTGTCCATGAATGCCAGCTCTGGCTGAATAAATGGAGTTATCACAGCCTCAGAGGAAGCGCTGAAACGTTTTGGGCTTTCAGGCATGCAACTCTCCAAAAGAAAAACTTGGCAGCCTTAATTCATCACCTACTTAATATCTGAATTGCACATGGAAGTAGCCCAACCATAATTCAATTTGCATTAAAGAAATGAGCAGGTACCAGCACATAAGCATATGCCACCCAGGGCAGTGGGATACACGGAACATTCTGGTGGCTTGCAAGGTGCTCTCTGATTTAGTGATCCTAATTTGCATAAATTGTATAAGCATGCTTGAGAACCAACTTACCTTAGATGCACTTGTGGGTTCCGGTGTTTCGGAATAACAGAGCAAGAGCTGGAAGGAGATCTGCAAGCGGGCCTCACACACTGCCTAAAGACTGCCATGCAAGGACAAATCATGCATTGCAAAGATCGCCTGGAGGTGGGATATATTGCTCATGTGATCAACCGGATCCCCTGTATGGACTGCCCTTGTGCCTGTGTAGGATAGACAGGGAGGAAGCTAATCACCAGAATGCAAGAACACAAGCGAGCAGTCAGAAATTCCATTTCACAGCTACTAAGCTGGTTGGCCAAGCAGGTACACAGATAGCCAGGGGAATGATTGAAGCCTGGGGAATGGGGGCCCTTGTCAGTCAACAGGAAGGCTGATTTATCGCCAGCTTATCAGGTACTTAGGAGCTCAGCTGAGGGCTTGGCAGCACAAGAAAACCACAGCCAACCATGGCCATCAACACCAATCAACCAAGAAGAAGCCACATCCAACCAGGCACCACATAAACAGGACACATAGAATAGCCCAAAATGCACATTCCAGTAGGAAGAAGTTCCCAGAAGATGGGCTCAGCAAGGAAGACCACACCTTTGGTCCCAGGGACTGACCCAGGTTGGATTCTGCACCCAGTTTTCAATCACTGGGGGGGGGGGGTTCAATTCTGCTGCTCATGGGCCAACCTCCTGCTGCTTGTCCCGTGTCCAGATTTAAAGGCCATCTTTTAGGAAAGATTCAGTAAAGGGGAGCAAGAGGTGAGAGGTTCAGTCCAGAATTATCTGGAGGCTTGAAACAAAAGCCCCACAAACAGATGACACCTTGCTGAGCCATGGAAAGTGTGTGTGGGGGGGGGGGGAGAAGCTCCTGTATGGTCCCTGACTGTGGGACACAAATAGCCCGCAAAGGCAAGAAGGGCGACTCCAGAGGAATCTGGGTGAAGAGCCAGCCAAGGGGAACGAACGATGGCGAGGTTGGGGGCAACCACAGGCCGGGCACCCATCTTTGGGGCAACGGGGCGGAGGTCCTCCTGAGCAAGGCCCGAAGGTGCAACCAAAGCCTCAGCCGCCCAGTTGGGCAGGGCTTCCATGGGCCGGAGCTTGTCTGCATCGGGCACTGCAGCCCAAAAGCTGGGCCTGGTCTCTGGGCAGGAGGCCCCGTTTTCAAGACCCCAGGCAGGCGGGCGGGCGGGCGGGCGGCTGTTCCTCCTGGGGCGCTTTACAGGGCCCCTGGCGGGCTTTGCCGAGGGAGACACTGCCGGGCCTTCCGCGGGAGCCGCGCAGGGCCTCGGGCAGAACTTGACCCTCCGCGTCCCGAGCGAGGAGCGGAGCGCGGAGGTCGGGCGGGGCGCGGAGCCCGGTTCCCGCTCTCTGGGCAAGCGCTCCGTGCTCCGCTCCTCGCTCGGGACGCCCCTCGGGACTCTCTTGCCGGCGCAGCCTCTCGGGGGCGGCGAAAGGCGGGCGCCTCCACTCCGCGGCCCGGCCTGGGGCCCGCCGCCCCTCCGCTGCCCCTCGCGTCGCCTGAGCTTTCCGGGCGGAAGTGGACGGAGCCCCCGGAGAAAGAGAAAGCGCCGCGCCCAGCAGCCACGGCTGACGCCGACGCCTCCCCGCGCAGGTGCCCGGCCGGCCTTCCTGGCAGCGGCGGCGGCGGCGGCGGCCCTGCGGAGCGATGGGCGGCTCGGGGCCGGCCTGGCGGGACTCGCTGCCCTACTACTACTGCGTCAAGTTCGCGCTCTCGGCGTCCTCCACCCTCTTCTCGGTAGGCCCCTTCCCACACGCGCCGGGCGGCAAGCGGAGGAGCGGCGGGCGCCTCGCCTCGCCTCGCCTCGCCCTGGACAAGCGCCCGCCGGCTCCCTTGGGCAGCGGGGCCGCCTCCGCCTTGTCGCCCGGGCGCCGTTGTCGGCCTCTGCCTGCGCCTTTCCCGGGCTTCGCGCCACGCCTGTGCCGGGAGAGCGAGGCCGGTGGTGCGCGCCTGGCGGCGGGGCCTGGCGGGCGCATTCCCCGAGCTTCCCGCCCCCGGAGACGCCCCGCCGCCCGCAGAGTCGGCCCTTTGTTTCTTTCTGCCGTTTGGGCGCCGCGCGGTTACCGGCGGACTCTGCGCGGTGGTTTCCTTGGCCGCTGCACCGCAAGGGCTCCGCTTGGATCCTTCCCGGTTTGGGGTTTTTTCCGTTTCTGCACAATCTGAGCCCCCGCTGCAGTGCTGAGCCGGAATGCAAGCGAGGCCCTTTGCCTGCAGCGGCCCCGGCAATTCCCTGGCTCTGGGCCTTGGCTCTGGGGTCAGCTGGGGACACCTGGCTGGGACCATCTACCTACCTGGGCAGCCTGTAGGAGCCTCAACCGGTCAGGGGTCCTCCAGCTGTGACTCTTCTTCAGAGGTTTCCAAGCTTTCTCTGGAAGGGGGAACCGATTAGGCTTTTTTTTTTGAGGATCCCAGACCTCTAAACAAGGGCAAAGCTCTAGCGGGAGAAGATTGGCCGTGTTTGAGTAAAGGTGTACATTTGGGCCCTTAGTTTCTCAGGGAACCACATCATGTTCTCAGGAAACACAGCTGGAAAATCCTTGCCAAGCTCTGATGGGCTTCAAGTGAGAGAAGACTGGGAACGTTTGTGTGTGCATTCATTCATTCATTCATTCATTCAAATTTGTTATAGCTCTCAGCTGTAATGGGCTCTGGACAGCTCCCCATAAAAACAAAACAAAAAGCTACACTGACAGCCCAGACTAAAATTACCTTAAAAGCGACACACGTTGAAATAGATCCCTCCAATAAACCCAGCTTGGGATCAAAGCCATCTTTAAGAACCCCCTGGAACCCCAGGAGGGGGAGGCTCTGTCCTCATCTCTGCTTCCCCAGGGCCTGAGCCCCTGGTTTCCGAAACGCTAAGCATCGTGTTAGGATGTGGCAAACTTCCTCCCCATCCCACCTCCAGCCACAGGGAAGTCAGGCAGAGGCTGAATTTTAGATTTGGGGAAACAGCTTCTTTTCTTCCTCTGGGAATACAGTTAGCCCTCATTTAGCAACTGTTCGCAATTAGTATGGTGATGACAAGGTAAGTTTGTGACCAATCCTTGCACTTAACCACTATGGCGGATTTGCAAGGCAAAGCAAAGAGCAAAAACTCCGTTACTGGACTGAATGACTGGTTGGGGTTGCTAAATGAAGACTACCTGTAGCCCTTTTTTCCTGAATTCTTTTGGGAATCTGAAGGAAAAGCTTGTTGCAAATCATAACAATGGATGCTCTGAGCCTGTTGATGGGCACCTTGCTGGAGCATACTTAAGCAGTGGTCAACCAGGACACTTACATCCTTGAACAGCCTCAGTTCTGCCTGTGTGGAGAGGACATCCTGGGGCTCTTGTCTGTGGCTTGGTCTCAGGCTTCGGCCTGGATCTTGGTGGGAATGTTGAACTGGTTTTGGATGCTACGGTGTTTTGTAGATCCAGCCTGCACCTTCTATTTTGCTCCTCATGGAGCTCCTGACTCATCATCTCTGTTCTGCTTTGTTGAAGAATTTTATATTGAATGGAGGCATTTGCTTCTCCTCTGTTGTGTTTCATTTAACACAAGTTCATTATGTAGAAGTCTTGATGTTTCATATGATTTATTCACCATCATCATAATTATGAAAGTAATGACTTGTTTAATGCCAAGGAAACTTGTAAGCAATTGTAATTTGTTCAAACTGGAGTTCAGGCTTAGTGTAAGCATGAACTTTGCCAGTTATGGTTTTAATGACTAAAAATATCATGGTTTAGTGTCATTTAGATTTCCCATGTACCATAATTATTTTTTATGGCAATAAGAATAAAGAAATTTGCCTTCAGAAGTTGTGGGAGCTTCTTCCTCACAGGAAGCTTTCAATTTGAAGCTTTCAAATAAGTCCGGGTCTTATATTTTTTTGAGCCCTGGAAAAACGACTGGGCCGTCTTTTTGGTGGTGACTTAATTCCCCCCTTGCATCCTCATCTAGGGCGCCCCACGGGCAGCCTCGCCATCAGCCGCTCCTAACGGGTGATCATGGCGAAGTGCAGAGAGCTCCCTCCTCCCACCAAACACCTTTTCTGCAGACCCAAGACCTTTGGCACCCGCTGCTGTTGCTTTCCCTTCTGCCCATTCCACTGCCACGTTTGGAGTGCCGCTGCCATTTGGAGCACCGCTGTCATCTTTGGAGCTGCCACTTCCGTGTTTGGAGCTGCTGCCGTGTTTGGAGTGGCGGTGGCGCTCCAAACAGCGGCAGTGCTCCAAACGTGGAAGCGGCAGCTCCAAACACGGTGGCAGCTCCAAATGCAGAAGTGGCAGCTCCAAACAGCAGCGGTGCTCCAAACAGCGGCAGCACTCCAAACGTGGAAGCAGCAGCTCCAAATGCGGTGGCGGCATGGGCAGAAGGGAAATCAACAGCAGCGGGCGCTGAAGGTCTTGAGTCTGCTGCAAAGGTGCTTGGCAGGAGTAGGGAGCTCTCCGCACTCTGCCATGATCGCCCATTAGCAGCAGCTGGTGGCGAGGAATTGCTGCCCATGGGGTGCTCCTAACGGCAAGTCCCCCTGCCCTTCCCCACATTTTGCATGTTTTAAAATAGGCCTAAATTTGAGGGGAGGGGCTTAATTTCATTTTATGCCTAGAAAACATGCTGGGTCTTCCTATTGGGGGAGGTCGTATTGTTGGAGAAACACGGTGTGTATGTGTGTATGTGTGTGTGTGTGTGTAGTTATAGTTATAGTTATAGAATCCTAAAATATTTCCAAGCAAGTTTTAGACTAAATACCAATATACATTCCCCTGTGGTATCCCCCTTATAGATCCCTAACCCTTATCTCTAATTTTTTCAGCTTTATTATTTCTTTTAATTTTAGCCAGCTTTCCCTTTTCTAAGTTTCCCCGGTCTTTCTTTCTTTTTCCTTCTGGTATTATTTTTATTCCCCTCTGCCTGTCAGCCATGTTTTCCCCCACCCTTTCCAGTTCTCTTTTTTGGGGTTTCTTCCTATATAATTCCTTCTTCTTAGTCTTGGGAGCCTTATCTCTTTTATTTGTTGTCTCTGGTGTCAGTGCCTCTATTTTAAATCCTTTTATATCCTTTGGCAGTGGTCCTTGTTCTCCATATTCATCTGGGCTGTTGTTTCCCTCTTCCGACTCGTCATCTCTGAGCTTTCTTTGTTCTTCTGCAAGCTGCAGTGCCATTACTTTACTAATCATTGTGTCCAGCAATTTCAGAAAAATGCCTTTCTGAGTTACATAAACACTGATTCCTAATTTCTGTAGAAGGAAATTTTAACAGAATAATAACTTTGCTCCAGCTGACATCCATTTGGCTCCTAGCAAAATGGCTATTTGTTGTTTGTAGTACATATTGCTCCGGTGTTATTTATTTACTGATTAGCTGTTGCTTGTCTTCTGAGTGGTGCGATTATTCATATTCCATTGGAATGTCTTAGAGCAGATGTGGTTGAAAGCTGTCAGGAGAAAGGCTGTTACTATTGATGCAGCAGCAGCAGCCCCTGGGCCTGTGGGGGACTGAGGGGATGCCACCCCCGGCTGCTTTTCTCTGAGTAAAGCTTGTGAGAAACGGATGGCATTTACAGGATCTCTGGTGCTGTTTTTTAATAAGGTATTTGCTGCCGCTTGGTTTGAAATAACTGACCTTTAAAGTGGAATTAAACTGCTGTCCTTTCCTGTGATCTGTCATGTGAAGAATGGATAGCTAGGGTGGCCTTGCTGCTTGTGGATTAGAAGGCGGTGGGTGGGTGATATTTGTTTACCAAGGCATTTCCTGCCCACTTCCTGATAGGCACAGCTGCCTCCAAGCCTCTCAGGCACCCAGGTCATGATTGTCCCATGAGATGGATGGATGGATGGATGATACATGGATACACAGAGAGAGAAGGGAGTGCGGGAGAGAGAGAGAGAGAGAGAGAGAGAGGTTTTTCACAAATGAGCCTGGCAAAACGTATTTCCTAACTTCTCCACAAATTTGCAGAAATCATGATGAAAGATTTTCCAATATTAGCAGCATAGCCCAGAAAAAAATAATTTATAGTTAAAGCAAGCATATTTTGATGCTGGAGGGGTTGCCAGAACTAAATTATTTATTTGCCTTTATGTGTGGTCTTGCTCAAAATTAGCCATTTGAGGGTATTTCAGAAAATTGCATCATAACGAAAGCATAGAAAAAGTACATTAGGCCTTTGGTCATTATTTTCTGGTAAGAATATACATTTGAGAAACAATACGTGTTAGATTTTGAATTAATAGTTGCTAGTTTAGTAAAATATTGGAAACATCTAGAGTAGACATCTAAGAAAACTTCATTTGATGCAGTCTATTGCCATGTTGAGAACAATAAATAGTAAATGGAAACCAGGTAAAAAAAATAAGGAAGAAAAGTGCTTTTCCTATATGGAATTAATATAGTATAATATTAATGTAATATTAATATTATTAATATAGTATAATATTAATATAATAACTAATATTAAAATATCTTTAAAAGATATTTTAATAATGAAAACAGCAATCGGCTGTCTGTAGCTCATCACGATAAACGATGGAAGATAAAATGTATGCAGATCTGTAGCCCTTTGGCCTGACATTCATGCATTGATTTTAACTTGTGAAATATTATGGTTGATCCTGTTTTCATATTGGAGGATTCTTTTTCCTGGCCTCTCCGATAGAAAAGCTGGGTCAAGAAATGTCAAGAGGTCACCCCTGCAGACCCTTCCTTGCCACCTGCCCGCCTGCTCCATTGGCTGGCTGGACGGGCGCAGAGCAGAAGGCCCAAAGCCTGACCAGCCGCCCCTTGGCTGGGAGGCAGAGAGGGTCTAAGTTGCTTTTCCTTCCCCTCCCCTGCAGATGGTCGGCCTTGTCATCTTCTGTGTGGGCATTTATGCCGAAGTGGAAAGGCAGAAGCACCGGACCCTGGAAGGGCTCTTCCTGGCCCCAGCCGTCATTCTCATCCTCCTGGGCCTCACGATCTTTGCCGTTTCTTTTATTGGCATGGTGGGATCCCTCCGAGACAACCAGATGCTGCTGAAAACCGTAAGGCACTTTCCCACCACACGGGGCCCTTTCCTTATCCCTGGCTCCGCCTTCCCCTCAACTTGCCTGCCACAGGAGACGGTCTCTGGGGACGGGGCTGCAAGAGCCTCAGCCCTCCTTCTGGAAGTCTTGCCAGTGGGGAAGGATGACGGCTCCTTTTCGTAGAGCCCCTGAGCATGAACCCGTTACATGCCCCCCCCGCCCCCCCGTAGGCATCCTCCCTGGGCACGGCCACCTTGAAACTCCATGTATTTGCAGTCAAAAATATCAACTTCAGAACTTTCCCATTGTTTGGAAAGTGTTGCAGAGTGGATTTGGGGATTATGAAAGACTCAAAGAGGAAGGGGAAAGGGCAAGAGGTCATAATTTTATATCTTTTTAAATCTTATTTTCTGTATTTTTCTTATTTTAATTGTTTATATTTTTATTTTAAAATTCTAATAAAATTATTGCAAGGAGAGAGTGAGAGCAGAGCTTGTTAGGAAAGAACAGCATCTCAGCAGCAGCTGCTCCAAAAGGGAGAGGCCGGCTAAGTGCTCCCCAGGCTGGACAAATGTGAGGCTATGCAGGACATAGACCTAGAATAATAGGATTGGAAGGGGGCACCTTGGAGGTCTTCTAATCCAGCCCACTTCCTGAGTAGAAGATCCTAAACCATTCCAAACAAATGGCTGTCCAGCAGTGGAGCCCCCACAACTTCTAGAGGCAGCAGCAGCTTCTTCTTTTTTTTAACAAATTTTATTCAGTTTTTCACATTAAAAACAAACATCTCTTTTTAGTGGACAACATATTTCTGGGTCATCACCTTTACATACAAATATGACAGCAATTATACATTCATATATGCATACTTAGTTCTATTATTACCTTTTCCATTCCAAATTTTCAGTAAGGAGAGAAACAAACACATTAATTCTAGCCTCTTTCATTAATCTCAATCAAAACATCTTTTTGTTTCATTTCAATTATTTCAAATATAATCCTTTAATATTTATTTTAAAAATAAAGATAAATATGTGTTTGAATAATTAATAATAATAATAGTTACCAATGTCTCTCCTTGCTTTTAATAGTCTACATTAACTTATTAATTTAGTTGGTTCTTTAGTCTGTCATATTCCCTTCCCATTACACATTCTTTTTATAAATTCTAGATTAATACAACTTTTAACACTAAAAAAAACAGAAGTATAGATTTCCCCCCCTTTACTGTTTTGAGTGTGACACCTCAATGATTAAAATATACCTTTATTCCCTCATCTTGATTCCCAATAAACCATTATTTTTAAGAAGTTACAATAATAATCATTCCATCTTTTCACTTGGATTCTGCAGCATATTTTCCCCCCGTGAATTTTAATAAGAGTTTTCAGTATCTATATTACCCTATTTTGGCCTGTAGTATACACCCATGGCAATCTCATTTCCCCACCCCATATTGACCTGTATGGATTACCTAGGAGGTTTTCATCCTAGGTTTTGTGTATTTCTCTAGAGATGTAGAGATCTTTTATATACAATGCAACTCCACCTCCTCTTTTGTTAGGTCTGTTTCTTTTGAATAGTTTGTATCCTTCCATCAGTATATTTCAATCCTGTGTTTCATCCCACCAAGTTTCAGTAATGGTGGTAACTACATCGTATCTGCCTGCATGGGCTAATACTTCAAGTTCACTCTGTTTGTTCCCTAAACTTTGAATGTTAATGCAACTTCAGAAAGTCCACAATGTCCCGACTACTTTACTGTGCACTAGAAAAATTTGAGTAACTTCTGCAAAGAGAGAAAATTAATTGGAGTTCCAAATAATCAACTTTGTACAGGAATCAGAAGTAAAATTTTATTTGCCGTCATGTTCAGTTCACAAATGGAGGCCACTTTGGTTAAATAAATATCACAAACTGTTCCTGCCTGACACTGTTTTTCATCTGTATATCAGCCATTCATCTCCTCTATGAATTACAAATGTCAAATACTTTTTTTCTTTTTAAAATTAATAACCTTTTGTGACATTGCTTGGGAATGAAAACACTTTTCTCTTTTCAATCTCCTGCCGAGCAAAGGAGGAAAGTGTTGGAAGCCCCATTTCCTGAGTGATCCACAATGTGCCAAGGATTTTATCCTGGATATGTTTCTGCTCTGATGAGCCTGCCTCCCCCACGCCAAGCACTTGCTTGTCTTCAAGAAGATGAGTTTGCTGTCACTGTTTTTGGTTTGAAAATTTTTATTAGTTTATCAGACTATAAAATACAAAGAAAAATAGTGAAAAACTAAGGGAGGAAAAAGGGAAACGGAAAAAGTGTGGGGTAAAATGGGAAAAAGGAAAAAGGGCTTCTGGCCCTCTTTAGCACAGTTCAGGGTAATAGCACTACAACCTCAACTTTTTACTTTTACACAGTAATATATACAGTAGTAACCATCTCTATAACAGTGTATTTAATCAGCAAAACTAAAATCAAAGCTTCCTTCCTTCTTTCATTAGCATAAAATCAAGAAGTGATTTCCAAATGGAAATGAAATGAGACATGTTCTTTCCTTTCAACAAAACAATCAATTTAATCTCTACTTTATTTTTCTTTTTGCTGTGGGAAATTATATTTCTGTTTGTACCTATTAATTTTTACAAACTATCATCATTTATATTAACAATTTACTGCACTCTCTCAAGTTATTTAATCTTAAAGGGGAAAACCCTTTTTTTAAAAAAACAACAAAAAATGTGCTGTCCAGCCAGTGTATGGGAATTGGATAGTTAGGTAGCAATTGTGAGCTGTTCCCTTAATCATGGTAAATCTATTTAAGGTATCCTGGGAAATGTAGTCCATGTCACGTGACCACATCTGTAATCCTAACTGGTCACTTAATTGACCCTCGAGGGATTGGGGGAGTTTTCCTCACTCTTGGCTGAACTCATGGACTCGTGGTAGCTGTTCTACTTCTATCGTTACAAGATGGGAGAAAAAGGATAGGAGATAAACCATCTTTTTACCTACAAGACAGATATGCAAAGGATTGCTCATTAAAGAACTTTGTCACAAATGTGAGTTATGAGGATACCTGAAGAACCAATAAAGGTACTTTATTATGGATGTTTTGTGGAATTTATCTATCTGCATCTGTACAGGATACAGAATAGTAAAAAGATGATTTTTTTTGAAGTCCTGAAGCCCATCAGTATAAAGAAAGTTAATTTGGATTTGTGATAAAGCAAAGTAATGTTGAAGCCAGAAGTGAATGTGGAATGCTAAACTCTGTGCCTCAGTTTGAATTGCAGGGAGGGGCAAGAATCCCCCCCCTTCCTCTTTTACGCAAGAGACTTTTCAAATATCCTATGCGCTGGCTTTCAAAGGCAATCAAATTTGCCTCCTTCGAACCTTTTTTTTTTCTCTTTACTGAGGCAGGATTCCTTTTTCTTCATATCAAGCCAAGAAGGGGCAAATTCCCCCTCCTTTTCTCTTCAGCGAAAGAAGTGCTGTGTCTCAAATTACAACTCCTAGCTCAGAAAGAACCAATTTGTAAAAGAAAGGGAGGGGCCAAGTATCTCTTATCCATCCCTGTATTCATCCAATTACAAACCCTTTCCAAACACAGTGAGAAAGTTTCAGAAATCTTGCTGGCATTTCTAGAAAGCAAAACTAACTTTGCCCTGCTCATTTCAGCTGAAAGACTTTGCATTTTTCCAGTTCAGAGGCAATGAGAGAAGCCTCTCCAGCTATTTTTACAACTACTCTGGCCGTTTTATTGGGGGTCATAATTCATTACTGACAGACCATCTTCAAAGCAAAGAAGGCTAATCCTAGCAACGTTTTAAAAAGGAACAATTTCTCTTTCTGCTCAAAACCTTAAAATTTCTTTATGTTCCCCTAGCTTTATTAAACAATTAAAAAAACATATAACACTGCAAGCAAACCTTTGGGGTGTTGTATTCGATTGATTGGTTTTCTTCCAGCAAGGAAACAATAAATTCCTCTGGAGTTCACCCCCCCCCCCCACTACAGATTCAAGCAAAACAGCACACAGCACCATCTGGTGGTCAAGGAGAAATTTCCCAGGGTTTACCAATATGTGCTTGCAATAATAATCCCTTTTTGCAATTATTGTGGACAATTTAATCAATTTAATTC